TAATTTAAGTTTTAAATTGCTAAAGTGTGTTTACTTTTGGTATGTTGATAATATGTCGCAACTGCAGTAATTACGTACGACAAGCACATATACGGTGCTATTGTAATAATTACGCATTCATTTCCCGACCATGGCGAGTACACAGGGATTGTTTGGCAGTCACATTCGAAACGACATGAAACAGATTGTTTTTCTTTACAGTTTGTATCTAGCGTTGCCACCTCTTAGGTGTCAAAATCCGGGAGAGGAAAAAAAGTTTCCGGGAGAAGGGAAAAAAAAAAACTTTTCAGTCGGAACTGAAACACTTTCTGCCTCCTTAATCTCGTTAAAAGGAATTTTTGAGCTGTAGGAGCAAGCACACTCTCGCAAATACTAGTACATTTTGTTCTACTACAAGAAATCGTTTTTGGCAAAGAAGAATCTGGAATTAAAGTGCTATAACAACAGAGTGCTATGATAGACTGAAGTAATTTCAATTGCTGATATATTGTTTTGTTCTTCTGGAGATTACTTCATGAGAAAGTTCCAAACTGATTGCGAAGAACCCCTATTCAATATTAACGACCAGTGTTTCTTGCTTTGCGAATGTACAGTTAAAGCTCTAACATCCTCGTACTTTATTAACCGTTTTCCGACATACTTTACATTCTCCGTTAAAGTTGTCTCTCTTCATAAGCTAATCAAATTCAGTTAACCACTTGTCTTGAAACGACGTCGAATGTTTTGTCTTTTTTTTTTTTTTTTTTTACTTGTTTACTTGCAGAATCAGAATTGTTTTTTTCACTAGACGTTATTATGAAAGTATTTAAACATTTTCAAAATACGCACTTGTTTGTAGATAGCCTAGCTAACTGCAGACTAAATGAAAGAATGGTTTAATGAGGGGAGATGAGGGCGCGTATGCGCGACACACCGGCATGAAAACACGACTCATCCCGTAAGGCGCTTATTCACAGCTCATCGTAGGTCGCTGCTGTAAAGAAATATATATTGAAATAGACGTTCTTTGGGTACTATGCGCTGTCGTGTGATTTTTGATGCTCTCAACCATTTCGTCCGTGCACATTTTGTCGTTATTTTCGAGAAACTTCATATTCCGGGAGAGTTTAATTTTCAGGACTCAATTCTGGGAAAGTGAGAACCCTACTCATCTCTCTCTTAATAGGAACTCTGATAAGAAATATAACGAGCCTTCGACTAGTTTTTTTTATTAAAAGCTCGTTATTTATTTATGTATACCTAATTTCCTAGTTTAAGTCTATATTTAGACGGGAATATTTTGAATGGAACGTAAACAAAATTTCTTTCCGTAGTGGTAAGTAGTCACAGTAAAAAACCGCTCTGAAAAATTTTGCGTTTGCTTTAAATATACATTGTTTCCCTGCCTGACACTGCATTACTCGCTTTTCTGCGAAATAGGAGCCTATTGTAATAGCTGCAATCCTGCGGTGTCGACACCCAAATGACTTGTAAAGCACCATAAGCGTCCAAAGAAGAGAGAAGCAGTTTTGTTCTTTAATCAGTTTAATTCTTTTCTCCGAATTTGGATATTCCTGTGGTTACATCTTTTGTTGCGGTGATTGCTAGCAGTCGCTTTGATGGGGGGGGGAAATAGGTTTTCCAGTGAAAAATGGCGGTATTTACTTCTGGAACTCGGGTTAATTATGTTAAGCGTTTGAGGACACAGAGTATAACTCGGGCGATTCACTACGGGATGGATTTCTCGTCCAGAGGTAACTCGGGTGAATCAGGGAAGGGTTAAAAAGTGTCAGTTAGAAGTGGTCTCAAACTGGCGGTTCTCAGGCCTCAAAGCAATTTTATGCTACCCGCGAACACATTTTAGTTTAGCATTTGTAGCTAAGATTTCAAAATTTAAGTTATTTGACGTTTGAGTTTAGGTTATTACCATTAAAAATGAACTCGAATAACGCAGTTGAAAATCTATATATATATATATATATATATATATATACCGGGTGGCCATAATTAAACTGTAGCGCGATCTATTTGCGAGAATGACGCCACATTTTGTAGAAAGATTAAACAAGACGGGGGACGAAGGATTCTGCGAAAAAACAAATTAGTTCCAAAAGTCACCGCTAGGGGAATATGTGGCGCTGTGTAATAGAAAATAGAGTGTTAACAAATGCAAATTAATACGGAATAAAATTACCTTTTATTATGCACATTTTCTGATTTAGTTCAAGTGCAATATGGCAACACTTTTAAAAAAGAGATTTAAAAAGCGATAAAAGACAATGCCTGGGGGGAAATCATTTTCATGCAAGATGGAGCCCCTTCACATGTTGCTCAGATGCTACGACAGAAATTCACAACAGAGAGAGTCATTAGCCGCTACTTTCCAACTGCATGGCCACCTCGGTCGCCTGATCTTACCCCATGCGACTTCTGGCTATGGGGTTACCTTAAGTCCAAGGTCTATCAAGGAGTGGTCCAGGACCTGGCTACGTTGAAGGATAACATCACGGACTGTACGGGAGATTCCTGCAGACATGTTACTTTCTGCTGTTGTGCATACTGTGCACAGAATGCAATATATTGGTCACAACAACGGCAGCCACATTGAACTTCATTTGAATGCAAAATAAAAGGTAATTTCCGCATTGATTTGCATTTGTTAACACTCTATTCCCCTAGCGGTGACTTTTGGAACTAATTTGTTTTTTCGCGGAATCCTTCGTCTCCCGTCATTCTCGCAAATAGATCGCGCTACAGAACACTGTGAGCACTGTCAGTTTAATTATGGCCACCGTTACATTAATTTATGCCTCGAAGAAAAATTTAACAGATAAATTCTCAAATTTTGTAACTTGCAATTTTTTTTAAAACTATTTTATTAACTTTTTATTTCTGGGTAAATTAAAGTCAGTTGTCTAGTGATTAACTTAACCTGTTAGAACTGTTACAAATTTTGTATATATATACAAATAATTTTGTAAAAATCATATGTCAAACTGTAGGTTGTTTTTTAGCTCAAATGGGCAATTTGCCCAGAAGGATTATTAATTTTGTTTTGGCATTTTGCGCCGATTCACTACAAGCGTTCTTTCACATTTTAAATTGTTACCACCAAATATTAGAGCCCAAAGTAATTAATAAATTAATCAATCAATAAATTAAATAATGAAGAATCTGCATAAATGTATATATGTTTCTCGGAATGTGAAAAAACAACAGTACCTAGAGCCATCAAATTTTGAATAAAGTACGTCTCCTAATATGGGGATCTGGAAGACCGAATTTGGAAATTTTTTATCATCTAATTTTATTTTGTAAAGCATTTATAAGTTAATGATTCACTCAATTCACATGATTTCGAATTATTAAACATTACCTTTATTTAAATACGAAAAAATATACCATGAAATTTTTTTAAACATACTCCTAGCAAATTTAATGCGAACAAACTTACATTTTAATTAGCAATGCAGATACTTATGCATGTAACACACATATGTGGAAGAAGTAAGAGAACAAGTTTTGAGTAAAAATGTTAAACCTTAAATTTATGCGCTTAAAACACTTATAGTATTTACAAACCATACCTTAAAAAGCATGAACATAAATTCTACTTTTCACAAAATTTTATATATGAAATTCCTACATACTCAATTTCGGTATTAATAAACATTGCTTCCACACTCTGCTGAAACTTTTACCGCATCTATTATTGCTGCTACTGCTGTTGCTATTTATTTCACTTATATATTTGAGAACAAGCCCTCATTAAGAATAAATCTTTGAAAATACTAATAAGCACTTAACACTATGAATGAAATTCAGAAAACATTTTGGCACTTCAAGATAGTAATTTTCACGTCCAAATGCCCTCAAATGGAAAATTTCGGAATTAAAATTTAATAATTTAAATTTACAAGTATATACTCAATTTTGACATTCTCGAACATTAATAATTCTTACACATAGTTCCCATAAAATGCTAAAAAATTTGCCTCAGCATAAATAAGTTTTCTATGTCACGAAAATATACGCAAGCAATTGCAAATAGAACAAACACATTTCTTATTACACAATTATTATATATAAAATTGAGGATATAACTATAAACAATTTTTACACGTTAATTAAATTTTATCATACCTAGAAACTAATAATATAGCATAATAGCAAATTGATTATTAGGCACTGCTTTATTATTTTATATTTAAGAATGAACTACTTAAAGCGGAAAAAATTGAAGTAAAAAATTATTTAAAATAACTTGAAGGTGGACAACATTTCTAAAGCTTCAAAATAGTTAATTTTATGACCATGAAGATATCGATGAATAAGTTCATTTTACGAGGAAAACTTTAAAAATGAGTTATGAGCAGAAAAGAAATGTGCATTATTTTGAGCGCAAAAGACACAACCTGCGCGTACTTAGAAAGTCCTCCACGAAGGCATCCCTTCCTTTAGGCAGATAGCCCTCGTGTGCTTTGCCATAATTGAATAACCCAACAACCTGCGCGTAAAAAAAGTAATTCAATATTATATATACTCAAATTTTATGTATTACTTCAATTTCGACATTCTTAAACATGCCTTCAATACACTGCTAAGATTGTCACCGTACCTGAAAAAAGCCAATTGTAATAAAGCATAACAATTACCTTTCAGTACATAAGTTTCTATTCACTGATATTGCTTCATTTTCTCTACTGTTACTATTATTATTATTATTTCATTTCTATTATTACTACTGTATTATTTCATTTCTAATATTACTACTACTATATTATTTCCTATTCATATATCTGAAAATGCACCACCGATAAATATTTAAAAATGATAATAATCATTTACAGTAACAAATGAAATTTAGAAAGCATTTCTGATGCTTCAAAACAGTTATTTTTATGTCCTTAAGATATACCTTCAAAAGAAAACTTAGGATGTATCATAACAAGAAGCAGGCATTAAATGTTTAAGCAGTATTCAGTTTCCTCATACAATTGTTCCACCACAAAAGACAGTACCTTTGTTCCCAAAGCCGAATTTTCCTTCAGAAAGATATTCCACGCTTCAGTAGATTTAATTTCTTCAAACACAGAGGCAATGAATGTCATTGTTTCATTCATTAGGTCATCATCTTGATGTCTATCTGATAATATTAAAGTCTCAAGAGCTGTGGAACTCGACAGGAATGAAGGAATGAATTCACCACAGATACGTTTAAGATCATACACGGCGTATTTGTCAGCTGCGTAGTAAAGGTCACGAGCCTGCGAATAAGATGACGGGTTTGCTTGACCGCTGTACATGAACAGCAGTAGTTTCTCCAAGGTGTCCGCATCTATATCCTTAATGAGCATTCTGTTGTCAGTAGTTTCCAACATGGGATGCTGAAGCATTTGGGCAAAAACCGGAGATCTGGCGGAAAGTAGACATTTGTGAGCATGAAATTCCAAATTATTGCATACAAGAACGAAGTCCGAGTAGTCATGCCTGTCATACATTGCTTGCATGTCACGTGAAAGTTTAGAAAAAAAATTCATGCTTGGTGGTATTTTTTCTATACTTTTATGGCATGTACATCCAATTTCCTCTTTCCGTTCGACGAATTTTGTAATAAATATACCACATGTTATGTCTATCGTGCTATTATTGTAATATCCTTTGGAATATGGTAGACTTCCAATTGTAGTTTTCATTACACCAGCATTCATTCTACAGTTAACTTCAAACACCTTATTACATGACTCTTTTGTTCTTATTACTACAAATCCTTTTAATTGAACAGGTTCATCGATTTCTTCTCGATAAAGTTGTAAAATGCGTAGTTTAGCCTCCACAATGTAACTGAAAAACCAATTCCTTCCTCGAAAGCCAAAATTACTGCTGCGAAATGGCGACGAACCTGTACACCCATACTGTACCCATTGGTATGTTAAACTATATTCTTCCATTCTTTCTTTTGATGAAACGTAAATTATAAATTCACACAGTACAGAGTCTGCTGAGAGAGAGAAGTACAGAATTGCTGTTTTTGTGACACAAACTTATTTCTTTTCAAAACACCTATCACAAAAGTATTTGCTGCACCACTACGCCTAATGGAACGAATTACGCTAATGCTTACTCTCACTATTCACACACCAGAGTGCGCATCACAGCCAGTGCGCATATTATGACGTCATTCATTTTGCGAACTAAAGCTAAGTCTTTCAACAAGCGCAGTAATGTAAACAACGGCAATTACTGTAAATGCGATTCAAAGCAGCCCCAAAATTAACGACGAGCTGATTAAATCCGGTGTAAAATTCCAGATGTTTTATATCAGCCGTGACAAGCGCAGCTACTTTTAATACAAGTTCTAGATGTAGTACAATGCAACCTCGACCGTTTGAAATATTTAAAATTACAGTCATTTCGGATAATCAAAAATTCGCCTAATAGAGAAGAAATTTGTAATGATACGAATTTCTTTCCAACCAGTATTTCTGAAGTTGTTTTGGCTCTAGTGTAGAATTGGGTGCCCCTTCGATCAGCGGCAATTTATTTATTTATTTATTTTTTAATTTTGGCGATGAAACCTCACTTCTGGTTACCATGATAGTTTTTACTTTGTTTTAGCTTCCTGATTTTATTTAAATGAAAATAGATTGAAGTGTACATGGACAAAGTACATTTCTAGGATTGTTTTTTAAGTGAAAACACATTGATGTGTACATGAACACAGAGCTTGTGCAATTTTGGACTTCTTATTTTAGTTTTGTGTAGCGGCCATCTTGAAATTGTGCCTTCCAGGCGCTTATCGTGGCGTCAAAAAAGAATCGCCAAAAAACAAGGGGCACTCAATTGTAAACTTTTACCGTTGTTTTATTTGGAATTTAAAAAATAAGTGAACAAGTACCATTTTAAGATTTTAAAAAACTCTTTTAGTAGATAAACTTTGCTTCATTCAGTTAAATAAATAACACATTCAAGATTTTATCTTATGACGAATATATTTATGAAAAGCTGGAGGGAAAAAAAGCTATCAAAATTTATGCAAATTAAGAAATTTTGTCAAATTTCTTACACGCGCATTTTTACGAGACACTAATTTTTTTTTTTCAGAAGTCATTTATATTTTCCTGTAACTGTCTTATAATTAGTCAATGTTCGATAAGTCACTTATCTTTTCCTGTAACTGTCTTATAATTCCATTAGTCGCTGTTCGATCAAGCCAGTTTTTGATTTACAAATGATCCTCATCAGAAGCATCAGAACTTTGCTCTAGAGGTATGTTCGGAACTCACCTAGGGACAGACCAGAGGTAACTCCGTTCAACTCTGGTTCTTTGACCTGCATTTTTACGAGACATTATTTTTTTTTTTTTTCAGAAGTCACTTATCTTTTCCTGTAACTGTCTTATACACTGGTGTGCAAAAATTAAGGACGAGACGGTTTTTTCAATATAACTTTGTACAAAAGCTTTCCAAATCACCACATTTAATACCGTAAGATCCCCAATACGTAAGGACATGAGTAATGTAAGCAACACTTACTAAAAGAGAAATCAGAGAATAAAACGTAGCATGGAGCGCAATGCGACTGAAGGCCGAAACATCCCTGTGATGGGTGTCCAGCAAGAAACATCCGGTCTTTAATAGGGGATATGATCTCCCCTGACTGCTAGGCAGGTTTCACAGCGTCTGCCCATGCTGAGAATGAGGGTGTCAATGAGTTGTTGAGGCATTGCTGCCCATTCCTCTTGCAGCGCCAATCGAAGCTCCGGAATCTCTACGGGTGGTAAGGTACGACCCTGCCCAGCGTCTGCCTAGAAAATCCCATACATGCTCGATGGGATTCAGATCCGTAGATCGTGCCGGCCAATCCATACGTTCAATATCCTCGCTCTCTAAGAGCTGTTCGGCAGCTACTGTGCGATGACATGGTGCATTGTCGTCCATGAAAAGGAACTGCGGACCCATAGCGCCTCTAAAAAGACGCACATATGGAAGAAGAATCTCGTTACAATAACGGGTCCCGTTGACTGAACCTGCGTCGAAGATGTGAAGGTCTGTACGACTACCAAGCATGATGCCTCCCCAAACGAGAACACCGCCACCTCCATACCTGTCCCTTTCAATGATGTTCGAGGGATGATTGCGGCTTCTCCGCTCTCTCCAGATGAGTATGCGATGAGAATCGCTACTCAGACTGAATCTGCTCTCATCTGTAAAGAGTACTCGTCCCCATTCATTGTCTCTCCAATTCCGGTGTTCCCGGCACCACAGAGAACGCCTTCTCCGATGGGCAGGCGTTAGAGGTACACACCGTACAGGGCGTCGTGCAAACAGACCACCACCGTGCAGTCTTCTGGCCACGGTAAAACGCGATATCGGTCGTCCAGTCGCCTGTGTCGTGTGTCTAGCGATTTCTCTCTCGAAACTGTCTGCCGCCTGTTTCTTCTGGCCTGTAAGGCAATATACCGGTCATCTGCGGGTGTGTGGTTCCTCGTGGACGACCACTACTAAACCCCCGGATAGCTGTTCCTGTAGTTTGAAATTGTCTCCATAGTCGTGAAACGATGCTGTGAGCAATTCCGAACTCTGCAGCCACACTTGTCACACTGCGGCCTTCCTCCAACTTCCCAATGATTCGACCTCGGGTAAAAGCATCCAGATGTCGTCTAACAGATTGATTATTCCCATTTCTCGCTGAGGCAGCAACTCGGTGTGATTTTAACTGCTATACGGCGTGCAATCGCTTTGCCAGAAATACTGATCTTACACCGACAACATGCTTTATACCAACCACTCAGACACTCCCCCATTACGTCTACCTGCATATCTGCGCATGTGCTACCGTACATCACCTTACTTAATCTCCTGATTGGTCTTTCTGTCCGCTCTGCCTCTTCGTTCAGCTGATATGCTAATTTTTCGACTTCGTCCTTAATTTTTGCACACCAGTGTAATTCCATTAGTCACTGTTCGATAAGTCACTTATCTTTTCCTGTAACTGTCTTATAATTCGATTAGTCGCTGTTCGATCAAGCCAGTTTTTGATTTACAAATGATCTCCATTAGAAGCATCAGAACTTTGCTCTAGAGGTATGTTCGGAACCCACCCAGGGACAGACCAGAGGTAACTCCGTTCAACTCTGGTTCTTTGACCTGTGTTCAAATCACGGCAAAATGGCTGACTATATAGGAGTTAGCACGGCTTTTCGGTGTGTAATAAGAATGTATGATCCAATTGCCTTTAATCTTGGAAAGCTTGGTTTGATTTATTTTGATTATGGCAAAGCACTCGAGAGGTGTCTGCCTGAGGGAAAGGATGACTTCGTGGAGAATTTTCTAGGGAAAATTGTCTTGTATATATGTTATACATGGGAAAAACCATGAAGAGGCCTATGCAGCCAGCCCGTTCACCGGAATTTAGCGTCAGATCGAACTACCAGTGTTCAGCGCTAAACCGCTGATAGGCTAATCCACGAAGGCATCCATCCACTTAAGCAGATAGACCTCATAGACGTTGCCATAACCAAAATCAAAGTTTCAGCATGGCCTAATTTTGATCGTTGCATTGTCATCCTCTTGATCAGGAGATGAGTGTATCACACTTCAATTTCGCTTCCTTTTCCACTTTCTTCACTGGAGCAGTCACGATATGTCTTCTAGTACGGCATCGATGCATACAGCACAATCAAATTTCATCTTTATCATCTGGATACTTTACCATTAATATTCTTTTATATGGAATGTTTCATCAGACCCTTCTCTACGAAATTTAAAAACATGCTTAAATTTTATATTCAAAACATTGTGCATTAAATTTTGTTAATCATTTCTTAAATTACGTTTGAATTTTACTTTTTCCCTTATAAAGCTGTGTGTGACACCTGAGTGAAGGCTACTTTTTAGCCCCGAATAGGATATTAATCTCAAAACGGCATTTTTCGTTGACTCACTATAAAAAAGACAAATCACTTTTCAAATTATTGCCACCAAATATTATCGCACTGTATTATATTTAAAGAAATTGAATAATGAAGAATCTGTATGAATGTATGCATGTTTCTCGCACTGTGAAAACACAGCTATACCAGAGCCATCAAATTTTGAATAACGCAGTCCTCCACCCGAACATGTCACCTGCAAGCCCGAATTTTGAATTTGTTTTATTATCGATTTCTTATTTTGTAAAAATTTAACGAGTTTTTGATTAACAAACTCAACGATTTCAAAGCGAGCAGTGGCAACACTGTACGGGTGAAAAAATTTTCTATCTCCAGCGCGTGAGACTGTCTGTCGGAAATCTTTTATTTTTAAATATTTTGTGATTTTGCTGCTGAGTCGAATTTTTGGCGTAAGAGCCAAGAAGGTGATATTTAATGAAGAAAGTGAATTCACAAAACGTTAATAATAAAAAGACAAAAAGTTTTGTAAAACCATTAGTAAGAAAACTGAATATTGATATGCGGAACTGCGAAAAGACTGAAAAAAAAAAGCAGATAGATGTATGCCAACAGTTAACGCTGCATCGGTAATTCTAAAAAAAAAAAAAATTGTAATTCTGCTGCTATATACGGCGTAAGTGCGAAGAAATTTATGTTTAGTAATAAAAAGAGGAAAAGCCAGAGCGTAAAAACCTTAACAAACCTTTTTGGGCGAACGTTAAAAACTGGAACCTTTTAGATTATTATTGTTATTAACATAACATAACAACATAACATAACAATAGGGCGCTTCCTTCTTATGAAAAGAAGGAAAGGAGTTTAGGCAAAATTGCCCATTACTCTTCCGCCATTTGATCATTTAAGTTAAGGGATTTAAATGGTAACTCCCGTAAAAGGTAAATAATAATTATTGTTATTAAACTTCAAAAGGTCTCGAAACGCGATTTTGCGGCGTATCACTATAAATCTTGTTTCACTTTAAATGGCTGCTTCGCTTTTCAAATTATTGCCACCATTTTTAAAGAAATAAAATAATAAAAAATCTACAAGTATGTATGTTCTCGAATTGTGAAAAAACGATGGTATACCTAAAGTCATTAGATTTTGAATAACGTTATCCTCTACCCAAACATGTGCGCCTGGATGCTAGTATACTGAATTTCGAAGTTTTATTATTTATTTC